GCCAACAGATCCTCCCATGTCAGCTGCCCCAAAACCCACTCAGGGGCAAGCAGGGTCCCCTATGACACATCCCAGATGCCATCTGAGCTCCACCTTGATCCAGTTTTGCACCCGGCATTTCATCCAGGATACCCAGAATGAACACCCTACAGTCCACAATTCCTTGGCTAAAGCAGCTTTTGGGATGTCAAAGGCACAGTCCCAGTTAAGGCAGCACTGAGCCTCCATCTGCAAAGTCAAACAAACAACAGCTCACACGTCCTTAAAGCTCAATATTAAACAAACAGCTCACAGGGTCCTTAAAGCTTGATATTAAACAAACAACAGCTCAACAAACAACAGCTCACACCATCCTCAAAGCTCCATATTAAACAAACAACAGCTCACATCACTCTTAAAGGCCAAGCTTTCAGCTCAGTGATCAAAACAATCATCACAGGTCACTGACCTACTGTTTCTGTATTTTGGGCTGTTGGTTTTTTTTTAGTTTGGTTGCTTGTTTAGTTTGTTGGGTTTTTTGTTGTTATTAAATGCATTTATTTATTCTTGGACAGGCCACTTCACACCTGTACAATGCAAAAGCCCAAACAGGCTGAACTCTACCCCTGAATCTGTAATTGCCAAAAATTTTTCTGGGCAGAGAAGGCAAGAAAAGAATTGTCTGAGCAGAACCAAAGTGCTGCTCCCCTCAAGGAGCACCTGGGCTGGGCACTGCCATCCACCTCTGGCTGGAAGAGAAATCCAGGATCAGAGAGTGAGAGGCCCATAAAATATAATTGCTGTATCAGCCCTCCAGCGTTTGACGCCTGATTCATCTCCAACATACGGTTGATGTGATTTAGAGGGGCAGGATCCTGGCAGCTTTCCCAGCTTCCCTGTCTGTGGCACAGTATTCCACTTTCCATGTGCCCCGGGAATGAGAGAGTGAGTAAGAGAGGTGCAGCAAAGCTCCCTTCAAAGCTCCCTGCTGGAAAATCCCGTCCTGGTGGCATTTTGGAATGCCCAAGAACAAGAAGCAGTACAGGCAGCTGCAGGGCATGTTTTCCTGCAATCCTTGGTGCCTCAGGCCCAGTGTGCAGGGACACACTCAGAGGCTTCAGGGATGTTCTGTATCTACTGGATGTGGCTCCTGACTCCCATGAGCTGCCTGGGTGAACACCCACCTGCTCTGCCTTTGGGCTCCAAACTCCTCTCACAGCTCTGCCACCAGTTGGTCCTCATATCCCAGGTTGTGTCCAGGAGCCAGTCCCTTGGGAGAGCTGGTTCCTCCAGGCACAGACAAAGGCACTGCTGCACCTGCCCTCAGCGAGCGGGGAGCAGGGCACGACTGATCATGGAATCATGGCCTGGTTTGGGTTGGAAGGGACCTCAAAGTTCATCTGGTTCCAACCCCTGCCATGGGCAGGGACACCTTCCACTATCCCAGGTTGCTCCAAGCCCCGTTCAACCTGGCCTTGGCAGGGGGGGGAACAAGATGGGTTTTAAGGTCCCTTCCAATGCAAACCATTCTGGGATTTTATGAAAAAAACCCACCAAATTAAACCCAAACCTCCCTGCCCAGTCTGAGCTCTCCATGGCAAAGGTTTGGAGTTAAATTTGCCTACTTTGTCCTTGATTTACCCCTTGCTCTGCTGGTCTCTGAGCAGCCCAAGGAAGGGAGTCGAGAGAGGAAAATGCTGCTGTCACCAAAGAGGAGCTCGAGGCACCACAGATGAGGAATTTCAGCTCAGAAATTGGGCAAGAAGAATAAAAAGGGACAATAAATAAAGGCACATTAAATCCAATAAAAATAATTCAATAAAATCAGTGTTAAATTCTATTTCCCTAAGTCCCAAATGCCCAATCCTGGGTTTTCAAGCAGAACTGCTGGTGAAGCATCACAGCCAGGGTTGCAGCAGCAGCCAGGAGCTGCCCCACACTGCTCCAGCTGCCTGAGGGCACATAAAACACTCCAGATACCCTGGGGCATCAGAACAGAAATGAATAGGTCTGAAATATGTCTGTGTTTTGGGGTTTTTAGAATTTTTTGACATCAAAACCTTTCCTGAACTCCCTCCCATGTAAAAAGCATGAGTGTGTCCTTACAGATCAGCCCAATTTTTTTACCATGTCACATCTAGGTTAGTTTTTAAGGGAAGGTTTTAAGGTGCAGGGTGATCAGGTATGAGAAGGACATAACCACAGACATGTGGTTACATCCAGTGCAGAAAACATCCCTCAAACCTGCTGTCAAACCACCTCCAGGTCAAGAATATGGCCAAAAAATGCCCAGTGGGGCTGGACAGAAGGCAGATTGAGAGCTGGTAAAATAATAGAACCAAGATAAGCCTCATTTTTATAGTACTGGAGTGAAAAAATCCTGATCCTGTCTATGTTATAAGTTATCTATATTATTTAAGTGCTGCAAACTGGTAGTTTAACACACCAAGTGCAGGGCACTGAAATTTTAAAACACATCTCCAGCCCCAAGAAGGTTTTTAAAAGTGTAACTTTCGTATTAATAAAATAATTTCATCCCAACTGGGGCAGTTACGCTGAGACAACTTTCAAGCAGTTGAAAGACTGAGCAGGAAACCAATTTCCACCCTCCTTTTGAAGTGGTATGAAAGGAGTGATGGAAAACAGCTGCCCAGGGGAGATCACAAGGAAATGCTCTTTTCTGTGTGGCAATATTGCCTCAGAGTTCTTTGTCTTGAGATGTTACTGCTCCTCTGAAAATCAGGAAGGAGAAAATGAGAAAAAGCCAAAAGCTGAATTGTGGGAGAGAAAATTTCTGTGAAATCAAAGAACTTTCCACATTTGAGCCAAAAATGTGGTCTTACTCCTCTTGTCTGTTTATGGATTCTGTAAAACACAAACCAGCAATGGGACAGGAACCAGTAAAACCAGTTAATCCTCAGGGGAACACACAACCCCATCTCCCCTGGAACAGCAGCCCCAGACAAACCAGCTGGGTGAGGACTTCACTGGGATGGATTTACCCAGCTGGGGGTGGGGAGAGTCCTCTTTGTCCAAAAAAAACATTGGAATGGGAACAGCAGGACACAAGGCCACATGGAGGAGCAGTAAAGGCAGGGAAATGTGGTTCTGTACAGGACAAAGATGGACAACAGTGCAGCGTTTTTGCAACTGAAAATGGGAATTTTCATGCTTTCCTTGAAGAAATAAAGAAGAAAAAAGACAATCTCATGATGTATCCCTGCTAAAAGCACTGGGTCACCTGGCATTATTGAAAGGAATATGGACCAAGGTGCAAAATGCAGGTGGAAGCTGAGGAAGGGCACAGGAAAGGAGCTTGTACATTCTTAAGGACTTAGCAGAGAGCTTGAACTTCCCTAAGGAGATTAATAAAATCCATGTGAGACCCCAGGCAGAATCCCAGTTGTAAAACAGGAACAAGGTGTAAACCAGCAGCCTCTGTAGATCCCGAGGATCCCACTCTGATCCAGTTTGCTTCATGTTGTGTACTCAGACTTTGTCTTCAGGTGTTGTTATCAAAGAATTGCTTTTGATCTGACTATCCTTCACCCTGCCTGGAGCAGCCAGGTGGTTTAGCAGGAAACTAAATCCCATGGAATTGCCTGCACTGTGAGGTCCTGCTTGTAGCTCTCCAGAGCTGAAAATCAACTTCATAGGAAGTAAAATAACACAAGAGCAGAGGGTGGATGTTTTTGTGCACAAGACAGAAATCTCTTATTGGCTACATATACAATTCAGTGGAAATAGCATGGATTTACACCTGAGGAACCAGAGCAGAAAGTGGTTCCACCTGAACAAAAGGGCAAACGGACAGCATGGAGGGAAGGAAGGTGGTTCTGAAGATGCAAATTAAGATTATATGTGCAAACAAAGCACAGTTGTAAAGGTCTTTATGGCAAAATGTTAACGAACTAACAGAGATTTATGGTGACTTATCCTCCTAAGAGAGACAAAACAGTTCAGCAAAGCAGGCTGGGCAGTTGTGGAGGGAGGTGTATTTTGTGATAAGCCCCAAACAATGTCCCTGTTGAGTGTCAGCACCGAGCTGGAAGAAAATAAAACCTCTGACAAAGCAAGAAATTCTGCAAAGACAGCACTGGCTCCCAGGGCTGAGACAGGAATTACAAAGACCCACGAGCACACACAGACACACACACTGTGCAGAGACAGGATTCCCTGGAGATTTGATCCCCATTTAGCAAAAAAGGATTGTACTGTTTCCTAAGAAACATTTATTTCCACAAAACTAGCACCAAAAAAAGGAAGCTTGTCTGTGAGGATTAACTAATCAGATGGGTTTGGAACAAACTACATCTCTGGGTTTGAGACGATTTTATGTGTGTGGGAAGCAAACAAGCAAAACCACCAGAAAATTTGCTTTATCTTCCCATTTTTATCCTCTTTTCCAGGTGCTGGCTGACAGATATGTGCCAGTGTCAGCTGAGAGCTCCAATGTCTCTGTTCCTCATGTGGTCCCTGCAGCCCTGCCCGACCCAGGTGGCCCTGGGTGACCCATGGGCTCCATCAAGTTATTCCACACCCAGAGCTGGATGAAGGGAAACATGCAGGGCAGTTTGTGGAAGGATTAAAATGATCAGGAGTGGTTTACACATATTCTCTACACACAGGTAATTGTCTGTTGGCAAAAGGCCACGACCAGCCAGAATCAGGAAGATTTCTGAGTGGAACAGCACCAAAATCTTCATTCTCTGTAGACTTCCCTGCAATCCCAAAGGGATTTTACAGTGACTGTAAAAGTCAGAAAGACCTTGAGTCATGCTGGGTTCCATTAGTATGAAATCAAGCCTAAACTGTGACAGAAATACAAAAATCTCCCAAATATAGTGCAAAACCTCAGCAAAGCAAGAGCTGGAAATGCCCCCCAAGCGCAGCAGAGAACAAGAACGGTTTGTAAAGCCCTTCTGCCGGCTCTGGAATGCTCAGGGTGGGACTGCTGGGCTTTCTCCCTAATTCTGTTGTGAGTCCACAGCACTTCCCCAAGGAAAAGGAGCAGCACTCACCCTTTGCCAGCTGCACGAAGCCGAGGATGATGATGAGGGCCAGCGCCAGCAGCTTCGCCGCAGCAAAGGCGTCCTGGACACGGGTGGCAGCTTTGACACTGTAGCAGTTCACGGCTGTGAGCAGCACTGGGGACACACAGGGACACACATCAGCACCAGGGAAACACTTAACATGCAAGACAAATTATGACAAATTTTTAGATTGGATATACAGAAGGAATTCTTGGCTGTGAGGGTGGGGAGGACCTGGCACAGGTTGACCAGAGAGGCTGTGGCTGCCCCATCCCTGGAAGTGTTCTAGGCCAGGTTGGAGAAACCTGGTCTAGTGGAAGGGGTCCCTGCCCATGGCATGGGTTACAAGATGATCTATAAGGTCCCTTCTAAGCCAAACCATTCTGTGATTCTGTGATTTGCTTTTTGCTAAAACTTAACCAACCAGAGAGTCTATTCCTAAAAAAGAAACTAGTCCAGAGCCAGGCTCTGCAGCCTCACACTTTGCAATTCTATACTTCATTTTGTCAATAGGTGATTTGAATAATGTACATAGTCCTTGTGACAAGGAACAGCCCTGAATTGAAGAATACACTTCTGAGAGCATATAAATAAAAGGACCCTAATAGCACCCTAAAGCTATCGAGGCCAGACCATGCTGCCCCTGCCTGGATGTGAAGGAGGAGCTGTCCCTGCCCTGACACTCTGGGATACAACACAAACAACACCTGCAGGTCAGTGGGGCAGGTGGGAAGAGAAGCTGGATCTGTGGAAATCCTCATCCTCTGCTCAACCAGCAGTGCCAGGGATGGCTGTGCAGGGTTTGGAGATGCTCCCCAGAGCCACACACTGTGGCCATGGGAGAGAGGATTGCCCAGGACTGTGGTCATTCCCATCAGCATTTTGCTTGCCAAGAAGCTCCAATTCCTACAAGTTGTCCTACAGTTAATAGAATCAATCAAGACTAATTTCCAACCTTTTTTTTCCCTTATTGTCCCCCAACCCTGTATTCTGCCCCTGTATCTGTATCCTGCTCCTGGCACTGTGACCCTCCTGCCAGGCAAGGTACAGCCAGAGCCAGGGCTTGTCCAAAGCCACAAAGCTGCTCCTGGCTGAGCTTCACCTGCCTCAGAGAAAATAATGGCTTAAACCTGCTGCTATTCCAAATCACTTACTATTTTGGTGCCCTGCTCCCTGCCCAGAGCCTGCTGTTTGTTATAGGGACAGGAAAATGTCACCCCAAAGGTGACAGTGCCCAATGTTATGGATGCCCTCCCCTCTTGCTCCCTCCCTTGTGCACAGTCACCCCTCACTGTCCCCTCGCCAGCCCCTGGCCCTGCTGGTCCCCAGCAGCTCAGGCAGGAGCAGATTTCAACTCTTCTTCTGGAGCTGGAGGCACCCTGTCCCAGGGTGCCTCCACCCCACACTGCTCCTGAGAGATATGGAGCAGCTACAAAGTCACCCCATGCCCAGGTTTGGCAGCTTTTCAGCACCCAGAGCAGCCCAGCACTATCTGTGGGCTGCAGGGTCACAGCTTCTCACCACCAGAGAGATTGGGACACATCTGCCTCCAGCAGGGACGTTGTCAGATAACAGGGAAGGAGAAAATAAAGTTTAGGCAGGTCAACTTATGTCTGTGCCATGGAGGGAGAGAAGAAAGCACATCACAGCTCATGGTTCTCCTACTAAAAGCACCTCCAGTGAATCCTAACAGGGAGGGAGCCGGGGATCCAGGATTCCCTTCGACCAGCGATTATGCTAAAAATAAATCTCCCCTTGTTTACAGAGGGATATTTAAAGGATGAGCTCAGGCAGCTAAAAGCTTCTCCCGTGGGTGAGGACAGCCCTGAGAGGTGTGAGTGACATCCCCTTCCCATTTAGGCATTCTGTGTCCAGGACAATGGATGCTTTGGTCTCCACTGAAATACTGATTTTTGGGGCTGTTTTTCACGTTTTGGTTTTGTACAGACTCCTCCAGACAGATTGTGGGTGAGTGGTGGTGAAAATAAAAGGCAAAAGCTTCCTGCACAATCCGAGTTTCTGTATCCAGCCCTAAAACCTCACCAGTGCCAGATAAACAGGCTCCCTGAAAATAAAACACTTGGGATTAGAGACTGAAGAAGGCTGAGAACTTCTGCCACTGCCCTGAGTCAGAGCCCTGCCAGTCACAGCCCCTCTGCTTTGCTTTGCTTTTCCCACTGTGCAATAATGATAATATTTGTCTTTCCTAAAGGAGCTTGGGGGAGTTACTCCACTTAAATGCTTTCAACACATAGGAAGGGCTGAAATAAACCTCAGTCTCTCCCATCAGGAAGAATCCCACAGAAAAAGAAAAAACAACCAAACCAGGATAAGAACTTTTTCAGTAAAAACTCCAGGACGAATTCCAGTGGCTGCTCAGCTTCTGAGGAGAGCAGAGGGCTGGGATTTCTTAAAGCAGCAAGTTTGATTCCTTTGATCTGAGATATTGCCCTGCCACGCAGGGGCTCCTCCTGGCACCGCTCCCTCACCTCGGATGAACCGCTCCCAGGAAAACTGCACAGCAAGGGCTTTACTCTAAATCAGGGCAGTGATACAGCACAGGCAGAGATCAGCCTGCACTGCCCTGCCTGCACTGCCCTAATTCTGGCAGCATCTTCCCTTCGGCTCCAGCTACCAGCCCCTGGCAGGCGCCAGCCAGGGAGACCTTTGGAGTGCCCCACTCAGGCCAGGAATCATTCTAGGAATAAAGATTTCAGCATGACCTGACATGACACAGCTTGGCTGATCCACCAGCCCCTCTCCAAAGGCTTTACATAATTGGGATAATAAGAGCTAGAAAGCTGCAGGGATGGCAGATGTAGCAGGGGGGCTGAATCTTAGGATGGTTTGGGTTCGGAGGGACCTTACAGATCCAGTTCCACCCCCTGCCACTGGCAGGGGCACCTTCCACTATCCCAGGTTGCTCCAAGCCCTGTCCAACCTGGCCTTGGACACTTCCAGGGATGGGGCAGCCACAGCTTCTCTGGGCAACCTGTGCCAGGGCCTCACCACCCTCATTGCAACAAATTTCTTCCTTACATCCCATCTAAATCCCATTCCTTATTTACAGATCACTCTGGCACAAGTGGGAGAGATCCTGTTGTTTCACTGCTGTAGAACATGCTCACCAGGTGCTCTCCAACCCTTCACCTGCTCCAGCCTTCATTCCTTATCTTCATTCCAAGGTAACTCAAGCTACAGGGGAAGCCAGAAGCTTTCAAAGAGACATTTGGCTTTTTAAAGACAACAGCAGGTCTGGCTTCAATATTTACTCTGTCCTAGCAGACCCTGCTGCTTTCAGGCACGTCACTGAACCTGCTCCACTGGCCCTCACCTGCACAGCCAGGTAATTCCCATTACTGATAGGAACAAGGACAAACTGACTAATCCAACATTAGGCCTAGGACTTTAGCCCCCACCAGTTCACATTTTACAGCTGTATTCCTTCAAACTGGCATTCCAAGATCCCTCCCAGAAACACAATTCCTAGATGACAACAGGAATAAATGCCTACAAAGCAGACACAGCAAGGGATTGTGACAATCCTATCTAGAACAAGTCCATGACAAACACGCTGCATGGAACAACAGCTCCTGTGGTGTTCTGCCCAAAGCAAACAGTGGGAATGGAGCCCTGACACAGGTAAACCTGGGCCTGGCACTTATGATGCAACAGTCTTGGCAATATTCCTACAGGAAAAGGCAGGGCTGCAGCTTTTCCTGGATAATGGAGTGTGGACATGGACTGGGCATAGAGTAAAGAAAGTGCTCAGGGAGGCTTTGTTGGGGAAAAAAAAATCAAACAAACAAGCAGCTGAGCCACAACTCTGCATCATCCTCACTCACAGGGAAAAGGATCCAACTCCATGCCCTGGTGGGGCAACAGGAGCTCAGTCCAAGATCTTCAGCAGCTTTCCAGGTGAAAAGTCTCTGGAATGAGTGTAGGAATCCTTGAGGTATCAGAATTTGTGCTGCCTGTGGGGTTACACCTCTTGGGAGCCCTGCACATGTCACCTGGGTCCTTGATGTCACCTCCTACAGGTTTCCCTGCTCCTGACCTGTAGTACTGCCTTGTATTCCCAAGTACACCTCTGTAACATGGATAAATGAGTGGAAGGAGCTGCTTTAAAGGAGTAAACTCAATAATTTGCTGGAAGTTGCCCACGGATTCCTGTTCGTGGTGTTACAGGACAGAGTGAAAATGCACAGTAGGGTGAGGAGCTTGTGGAAAATAAGGGGAAGAATGAAGGGAAATTCTCATCCTCAGCTTCCCCAGCAGGAAAACAGGGACTGTAAGTTGTTCTATCATGCATGACCCCTGCTTGTAACTCACATTTCCAAAGTGCTTGGCCCTTGAAATTGTAAGATGATGCTTCCATTTACCATCTGCCACTGGATGATGCTGATTGTCTCCCAGATTACAATTACTTCCAGAACAGTTCCAGCTCCTCTCCATTCCCCATTCTCCCCAGCTCCCTTCACTCCTTATGAAGTTCAGATGACACACAAGGAGTTTTTTCTCCTACCAGTGATGGTACAACCAGGTTTCAGGCAGAGACAAGACAAGCTGAGCCTGTGGCCACCAAGGAACAAACCCCAGGCACAGAACAGTCCGTGGGCTTTAGGGAACTGCTGCCTCAGCTCACCAGAGGCTGGAATTGAAAATAAAGAATTACTCCACACAGGACAAACCAGGAATTATGTGACTACAGTGCTTTAAACCCATAGGAAAATCAATTCACTAAGGCAAAAAAACCTCCCACCAATTTTATATCCTGGTGGCTGTGATGCCACAGTGTCTCCCAAAAGTCTCAGGTGACTATTTCTAACAGCACAATCCAACATGAGACATGCAAGGACACAGGCAGAAAATGGTTCAGAAAATTTCAGCTTGATAGGTATTGATTGAAGCCTTGTGCCCTGCAAGGTGGTGAAGAGAAAAAAAGGAAAAACTCTGCAGATCTTTCTTCAAGGACAAATCCCTGGAGAAATTTAACACCCAGGGCAACCAGTCTGGAGCAGGGAAAGGCCTGGGGGCAGCTGGAAAGGAGACTTGGCCCCAGAGCAAATATGTCTATATTAAAATCGACTTATAATAATCAACATACCTGGCAA